AGAGCAAAGCATCTAAAATCTAATTTCCCCTTAGTTTGTTTCTGCGTGAGATCATTTTCTGGCATCAAAACTAGTCCTGAGATAAAACATGAATTGTTAACAGACTGTTAATTATACGTACTGAGTTCATTTGGCCACATCGTTTCGGATCCATCCTCTCATCTGCTTTGAAGCTATTACAGCAACGCTCCTCCTGGGTTGCGTCTCCTCTGGACAAAGAGATGCACAACTTGATTAGAAGACACACTGCGGTTTTGAAGTGTTTTACATAATGCTGCTTTGTGCCAAAGGTGACATATTGTTTGAGTCAGAGCACATTGGCAATAAAAGCCCATCACTGAGTGGTGCTGTGTTCCAGTAGGCTGCCTTTAATAACAACCATATAGATGCAACTGCAGCAGTCTACTTATGCGATAGATATACTGTACATTCACACTACAGAAGTAATGTGGTTTAAAGTGATGGGTGTTTCAACTCGGTTTGACTTTTTCAAGCTGCCAAAGCTGTTGAAATGAAATGGCATATTTTTTTTCTTCAGTGCAATGATTCCAGCTGAGAATGAAACCCGAGAAGAAAATGCAGCTTTCATTTATTTTGACAGGACTGCACTGTGTGAGCTCCAGCCCTACATTTAGTTCCATCTTTGTACCCCATCCATGGGCAGTACACATACAATTGATGTTAGGAGTGAATGATGTAATGTCTGTGAACATGGAAAACAATACCTGAACGTCATGCTCTGTAACTGTAGCTCTTTTACATGGACACTCGAGTCTAGAAAACACAAAGTGCAGGTCTGAACTCTGTCGAAGAGGCTTGTAATGCATTTGAGTTTTTTCTGGGCCTTGAATAAATTGTTAGTGCTCTGCTAGAACTAAGGAAAAAGCATAAGTTCTCAGACTGTAAATGTTTTCTTTGAATGGTGCCTATGTTGTTAGGGTTTAAAACAATATTAATTGCATTACATTTTGCCCTTTCAGATTCCAATGTGTTGTGCATAATGACCACACATTTTAATAATGGACAGTCCTGCAGCATTACGCATCAACACCCGAAAAGCTTTTCACCTCAACTATTAGACTAAAAGCATGCTGCAGTCCCCATATGTTGCACATGAAATATTTTTCTACATCACAAATGTCTGCAGCTGCTTTGCAATTCTGTCTGGTGTCTCCTCATCTGGCATGCATCAGCAGTCACATCCTTCCTGCTGTGAAATCTGGAACTTTTCTTGGCCACCATGCTTGGCTTGGTCCAAACAAGTGGGTGCAGAAGACCATAGCACTTACTTAAGTGCTTACTCAGTGGCAATGTTCTCATCTGATGGCTCTGCTTTCACCAGAAATGCAGCAGGTTTTGGAAGGGTCACCGCTTCAAATGCTTTGGGAAGTATGCAGCTTAAAGGTCGCGTAGGTGTGAGGCACAGTAAAAACTGCTGTAGGTAGGCATAATAAAAGGTGTTACTATCCAGTGAAATCAGCCCCTGCCTTGGGGAGCTGTCTTGTGTGTTCCAAGAAATGTAAAGGAGGACAGGGAGGTGGGACTAGCTGAAATGATTACCACACTATAACTCTGTGATAAGAGTGCACATGTCCAGAGGGTCTTGACTCCTCAGTTTTCTCTGCAATTTTATGTTTGGTGATGTTTTTATGAATTTTAATGGAAAAGAAAAAGAATTAATATACTTAAATATCAACCCTTCCCTTGAGAAGTACTATATCTTTTCACATATAGATTAACATGGTGTACATAAAGTGAAACAGCGAGAACAAGGCAAGTGTGCAGCTGCACTGTAAGTGCTAAATCCATTAACACAATCTGCTACATGCTTTAAATTCCCTTGCCATTTCCATGGCATAGTTATTAGGTGGATAGAGCTGAGTGGGTTTGCATTTGTAGCTGTATGCATTCATGATCACAGTACAATAAGAGTGTAATCTGACTAAAGTGACACCACTTAAACCACATTTATTGTTTAATGACTATTCATTTCACTCTTTGTTTGACTCACTACAAGTAAATTTAGATTAATTACAGCCTTCTTTAGTGTAGTTTGTGACATCAGATGATTATACCTGCCATTTCACCACACTAATGTCACACTGTATTTTAAACATGTTCAATATTTAATTCACAAGTGAGACAGGGTTCCACATTTTGCTGTGGCTTAACCAAAAGCTGTTGCTCTATGGGGCTTCACCCCTCAGCAGACGTGCCATTTAACTACAGCCTGGAAAGTCTTTACAAGACACAGGTGGGGAGTTACTTTCGCCACATTACATTTGGGTCTTAATTTCCCATGGTGAAGCCCCCCCACAGAGCCTCAGTGCCCTGTCTTTGCTGGTTCACTTTAAAGACTTCCTCCTTCCACTCTATAGACCACAGTGCAATGATTTAAAAAAAAACACACACACTGGAGTACACAAGAAAACTTTCTCATTTCAAAGGTTTCCAACATTTATTGGTCATTAGCCACATGTGAGGTTTGTTACTGGTGAACAATATTATTGATAGATTGAAAGGAGTCATCTGGCACATTGTATTTGTGTGTACTTGTTGCTGGGATTCTAGCTGATGTATTACGCAATCCTGCGATGACATTATGTGTAGGGATGATTCCAGTCACGCTCAAGTCCTCGTGAAATTGCTTTGAAAAGATTTGCAATATATCAACTTAGACCACTTCACACACCACCTCTGCGACCTGACAAAGGTTACGACAAACACTATCTAATCCACCTGTTTAAACAAAGGCAGACGAGCGGGACAATGTATCACACAATGGACAGATAACATTAACGCCTGATGCATTAGAAGGCCCAAGCAGACAATGATGTCACTATCACTGGCATCAGTTTTAGTGAAAACCCAGAAGAATGTTGAACCTGCACTAAATAACTGAGGCAAGAAACACTTCGCTCTGCTCCCAGAACAAATAATAAACACAGTGTATTAAACTTTAATTCAATATTCCCAGTGTAAAAAAAAGGGAAAAATGCCCATTAGGTAGATTATTACGAGGTAGGGATGCAGTCAGTGGGCTTGGGCAATTATTAGTGGCATAAGTCACCATTCAAACATGCATGAATGAGAAATTACAACAGTGTGGAGTGCAATTAGCTCTCCCAAATCAGTGCGTGTCAGATGACATTATCTCACCAGCTGAGAGCCATTACTGCACTGAGGGTTTCTAGCCCCAGAAGAGTCAGGAGGGGTCAACTACTGTGGGGGGAACAGACCATTTGGTCGCTGCCTGCAACATGAGGACATCTCTCTGGAGTCAGCGGGCCTCAAATGTTCTAAGTCTACAGGACATGAAGCATTTAGAGACTCATTTCTGTTTTTTTATTGTTATTATTATTTTTATTATAGAGTTGATTTAGTATTATACTGAAACCATTGAAACTTTACAATTCAGAACTGAAACCAACATGTGTAGCTGTTGAAATGGTACAAAGGGATAATTTATTTTGAATGTGGTAATCACCAAAAACCGCGCCCAGTGTATTTCAGCAGATATATTACTGCAGGTGGTCATGGGTAATGCGTGTGTTTTTGTAATCTTTGTCATTTGTGCAACATTTGTGGGGGGAAAAAAATACTGTTGTAAAACATTAATATCTTTAATGGGGATTTTACTTGCCTAGAATTCTAATGATCAGAATCTAATGGGCGTTGCTCAGTTTAGTATTAGTGAAATGCTGCACAAAGGACTGACAAGAGCCTCCTTGGGATATTCAGCTCCACAGCCACTTAGCTCATGTGTCCAGGTTATTAATGACTATACGAGTGGGTCAATTGTGGGATGAACTTGAGTTCAGCGGACCTCATGCGTGTTTCTCCTGCAGGGGCGTAAGACAAGTTGACGACCAGGTGCGGGTCAGGAGATAATATTTAACACTGACCCATGAAAATCAATACAGCTGTCATCTGTGTGAATCCCACAAAGCTGTGCAAGTCTCTTTATAGTAGATGTAGATATGCTGAGAGGATAACTGGTGTGTCACAGACTTAGAGAGTTGTGATGTATGAACCTGAATCGGTATGGTGTTTCCCAGCTTTAATCCATTGCTCACAAGTCAGAAATATGCAAAACTGAGTATTTTAGTCAAATGGTGCACCGGATAAGAAATAAAGACCTCATTCAACCACTTAAAGTAACCTTGGGGGGTCTCCGTAGCATGTGACTTTTGCAGCTGTGCCTGCATTTTATTATAATGAACGGAGAAAACTAATAAAAGGACCACTGACTCATCTCTGTCATTGATTAGTCAAGGGAGACCCCTGAAACAAAGTGACTGCTGGCCCCGCTGCCCATTGTGCCGGCCCGATCAGTCCATTCATCCAACGAGGCAGCTATTGTCTATATTTACTCTCACTCAGTGAGCCTTAAGATTAAACCAGGGGAGAAGTTGAGAAAGAATGAGAAGATAAAAAATCACCAGTAGCCTGTGTTCAGAGCAGTTCTTTGTAGCATGCCCTATATCAAATTTGAGCCATTACAGCTGTAATACTGTTAGTCTCTCCAAAACGCTGCTTAGAAGTTCACAGACAACATGTGATGTCTAATGCTGCTTGTATGAGTTTGATTTATCAGTGTGGCTTGTTTTGGATCTCGAGGAGAAGATATGAAGACCAGTCAGGTATCTGGCACCTAATTGGAATTATGTACAAAAACAACACATGGCAGTTCTGTGATTTTCATGAAACCATGACCCTATTATTTCTGTAATGTCAGCATTACATTCCCATAGAAATGATCATCTGAAAAAATATTTCTCAGGTAGTGACACAGACAGCCTCGATACTTTCCACTTAAACCTCTTCCCCAGTCACTTGTCGTATTTTGGATGAATTGCATTGCAGAAAAGGGGAACAGAAATCATTTCGGAAAAGTTGGAACTAATTCTATGAAAGTTTGTCCCGCCCTCCCCCCCTCGAAAAAAAAAGGGAGCGGAGGCGCTTCCAGCCTCACTAACCGGAGTCAGGACAGAAACTTTACGCACAAGTTTCCCTCTGAGGCACAGCAGCGCTGCAAGTTCAGGGACGCGAGGTAGGCAACGTCGCTTTTATCAATAAAAACTCTCCATGTCACTGCACGATTTGACACACCGAGCATTTTAATTCACTTAAACAATCCCTCGGGGCATAAATACTCAGATTATACGCGATGTAGCCTGTTGTGTTCGGTCTTATATTATTTGATCATGAATATTTTTTTTTTAGTTTGGGAGCTGATTTAAGTCTGCTGCTTCGCTTTTGTGTTCCTAACGTGTGCCCGAGTCACCTCTCAGACCGACTGCTGTTCATGCTGCATGAGTGAAATGATTTGCAAATATGCGCTTCAATTCTACATTCTCTGACTCAGATGTTGACATTTCAGCCTGTTTGTTTGTGCCTTGAGGATTTAGATGCGCGAAAACAGTGTTTGCACGTGTGCACACGCGCGCGTGTCACAGTGCGCAAAAAGGATAAAGGTCAGTTTTTGGCTACTGGGATGGCAGAGCACACAATCGCTGTTGAAATGCTTTGTAGGACATTCCCTGAACTGATAACTGAATAAACAACCGAACAGACTAGTTTTCATTCACAGGAAGAAAAGAAAAGAAAAAAGTCCTATCAAGGTCTTTAAAGGTCGTTACAACCAGATGAGTTTCATGCTCAGCCCATCAGATTTCCTCAACACCCAAAGGCCTTTTTCTGTGTTGAATTTTCCCTGTCACTCCTCTATGAACCATGTGGACAGACAGCGTTTTGATTTTGGTTCTGTTAAACCACCATTGGGCTGCGTGCCGGTTAAAGACTGCAAGATCTGGTAAAATGATTTTGTACCCTCAGCACACAAAGACATCATTGATTCTTTAAACGGACTTGGAGTGTGTTGTTCTGCGGCTTTGCCTGAATTAGAAAAGAGGAACAGATGTTAAATTTATTTCTGATGACCCTTAGACTATTGTGATGACATCTAGATTCCATGCTTTTGAAGAGGTGCATTACATGTTTTTGCTCACAGTTAGGCAGATTCAATTCAAATAACTACCCCTAAAGTCATATCTAAGTATGTATAGATATGTATGTTGCAGCACGCTCTCAATATAACTAACACAAGTAGGCTGTTTCTGCAGAAAAGAATCTGTAAGCATATACCTTCCTTTGCCTTCTGTGTGCGGTTCCTCCTCTGGTGGGAATCTGTTCCAAGGACATGGAGTCTGAGACAAGTGCGATAACAAAATAGGCACTGAAATTGGTTAGAGACATTTCAGCAGGAAATACCTCCAAAAAGTTTGCCATGAACAGCAATTTTGGAGTTAATCTGTAATTTTGAACCAACCTTTATAGTAGGAAATGTCACACAAGTATTTTGCGATTGGCACAAATGCAAGCAGAGTGAAAACAGGAAAAGTGAAATAGAAAACACCTGGTTTTCAATATGTTCTCCGATTTGAAGTCACATCACTCACTCACAGGATTAGGCCTGACACACACTGACTTTGTGCTGCCGCTGTGTCTCTATATAGAGTGGTATGCAACGAAAAGCTCCAAAGAGCTTCATCAAAAGCGTTTAAAGCTACTGTATATTGCTTTTTACATTACATGTCACTTCTGTTAGTTGCAGTAGTAAGAGCATGGATTGCTGAAACAGTTTGTGCTTCACCAGTTATTATTGGCAGATATTAGCCAAAGATTTAAACAAATGTATTCCCAGGAAGTAGACAGTTTCGTGAGAATACACTCCACAAGTAGATAAACTCCGATAAGCAGTTCTATGTGCAAAACATTCAGCAGTGTTTTCGCATGGTAGACTACGGCATTGTATGAAGGGAGGTTTTGTTATTTCAACACTGTCTGAAACATTTTGTTGAGCTATTATTGTAAATATTTCCCCCAGTCAATCTTACCATTGGCAAAATTTCCATGGGCAATCAAATATAAACCACAGCCGTCTTCCAGTGTGGTGCCAAAAGAGTAGGCATGGAAAAAATGTATTGCCAACCTAAAAATGCCTACATTTGGCAGGTGGTCAAACTGAAGCAGACAAATGTGTTTTTGATAATAACTGTGAAAACAAACCATAAATAACAGAACACAGATTGTTATCATTCTGAATACCAAAGAACTTTTGTACTGTAAATATATCATCAACCTCTGTTTACCTTCACAGGCTAAAAGACGCCAAATTCCTTCTCATCTGGAATCCGATCTAGCTTGCAGAGACGCCTACTTTGAAGAGCAGACTATTTTTGGCACTTTTTATTCAAAATGAACATTCAAAGGGCAGCAACGTTTTTATGTTTGGTGATTTTCTGCGTGGACGTCTGTCGAAGCCAGAATGACTGCACAGGTGTGGACTGCCCTGCTCCGCAGAACTGCATTGAAACAGTTTTAGAGAAAGGTGCCTGTTGTCCCACCTGTACACAAAGGGGTTGCACCTGTGAGGGCTACCAGTACTATGACTGTGTCCAAGCAGGCTTCCAGAAGGGGAAAGTCCCAGAGGGGGAGTCATACTTTGTAGATTTCGGAAGCACTGAATGCTCTTGTCCCCAGGGAGGAGGGAAGATAAGCTGTCATTTTATTCCCTGCCCTGAAATTCCCCCCAACTGTATTGAGATTTTACAACCTGCAGACGGATGTCTAGAATGTGGGCGAATTGGCTGTACCCATGGCAACAAGAAGTATGAGGCAGGACACTCCTTTCAGCTAGACCAATGCCAGGTTTGCCATTGTCCAAATGAAGGTGGGAGGTTAATGTGCTCACCTGTCCCTGGCTGTGACCTTCTTAGTGCTAATAAGCCCATGCGGGTAACAACCACTGAGAACAACAACCCTTTGAGGGACATTAGCAGCCGTCACGACGGCCAACAAACTAGCTTTGTAGAACCATTTTCCAAGCTGGCATTGAGAAACACTCTACCGCTGTATAAGCAAGACCCACCCAGTTTTGGCACAGAGAATTATGACTACACACCGGCAGAGCCAGCAACGTCTTCCACTATTCAAGATCTGGCTCAACCACTGGAATCTACTACACTACCACCAGTTTACCCAAAGTCAAGCTCCGCCACCTTCAGCTCTCAGGATGACAGGAGACATGAGCTGAAAGAAAAGCAAAAAAGCCCAAACCCACAAAGGAGCAGTGAGGATGAGGTTACACATAACATGGATCCAACCACTACAGGGGCTCAAAGCAAAACATTAACATCACTGACAAGTACAACCACACAGAGAGTAACCACAGAGGGCCACAGGCCACAAGAGGAAACGGGAGAAATTACCATGAGACATAACAGCGACAGAAAAAAAGTGGTTCAGGAGGCTCTAAAAGACACAGCATACGCTGCCCGCTCCAACACTGGGGGCTTTGGCCAGCACAAACACAGTCAGCGTAGTCGTAACAGAAGTCACGGCAGCTCCCATTCTGTCAACCGTAAAGGCCAAGAAAAAGTGTCGGTGGAGCGCAGGCAGTCGGTTGAACAGGGTTCATATCCCACAGTCCAGTTCAGTCCCACCAGCAGAGCTCCGGTCAGGATGAGAGAAGACGGCGAAGAGCCACAAAGGCAACCTCAAACCCTCTACAACTACCAGGATGCGGACACAGAAGGTGAGTTAGCATATATTAAACAAATCCATCAAATAAGTAATCCTGAGCTTTTATGATCAACAGCATCCTCACTCCTTTGAGTGTCAAATGAAGGTGGAAACAGTCACATTTAAAAGAAACCTGAAGCATAAAATGTTTCGATTCATCCAAAGCCTACATCAGAAAACATCACAGTGAGATGATATACTGACATACTTTTTCAGAGGAAATCTTCCGCTTCCTTCTTTCACATCCTGTCTTTTGAGGAGAAATAAATAATCGCGCTATTCAAGCTGGCAGGAATCCAGGAAAAACAATTGTTCATGGAAAGTCTGTTTTCCCCAGATAGCATTTATCTACCTTGCTCATAAGAGAAAATGATTACATCTAGCATGTATTCATTTTCAAGTTGAGAGAATGCTCGCTTTACATCTCCAGAGGTTCGTAAATAGCGGGTAATGTTAAGCCCCGCACTGTATTTACATCATTATGCTTCTAATGTTTCTGATAAATCCTGTAAGTGCAGCTGAAATTTGTGATTTCTCCCTTTACTCTGCTCCAGTGAGAGCACTCCTCCTGCCCAAATCCATGTGATTATCAGCATGCTCTCTAACAGATCAGCTCCCCTTCAGGGCATATACTACCGGTCAATCTACTGCAGGCACTGAGATAGAAAGCAGATGATGAAGTGATTACAAGGATGTCTAGAAGATAAGTTACACTGTACTGGGAAATATAGAAAATTAAACCACATCTTAGTCCAAAATGTGAAGTACGGTTACATATATACGATAAGTCAAAAAAGATCTGCCTCGCGATATTAATCTCATAAAGTACCATATGATAAACTAAATTTATGTTGTAATCTCAAATGGGATTTTAAGCACGAGCGCTAATGATAAATAAACTTCTGGCCAAGGAAACCTTATTAAATATACTGTACTTTATGGCCACATTGCAGAGGGAGTCCCGCTATATTTCAAGACTTTCCTGTGAGGCGAATAAACTAAATAATGCAATTTTATCTTTATAAACAGTTCAGTGACATATTTTTCTCAAGTAAGGGGTTCAGGATTCTGAGGAATTCTGTCTTATCAGTGGTGTTTTGTCCAGCAAACTGCAATCCAGAGGTGTGTAGTTAACCTACTTTACAACACTATGATTTTTGTTGAGACCTGTCAGAACTTTTCTTTTCTTTCAGCACCTGGCCCCTATAGGTATGTATAGATGAATGCATCTGAGGTGTTTGAGGCAGAGCGCTCACCAAGAGGTGCCTGTGGAGCATTTACGGAAATAAAGTTGGAGAATATAGGCTGCAAACTGAAGGTGAATGTATGTGAATGTCTCTGAGTCAATATAGAAACTTATTGGTAAGGGGCAGACAGATGTCCTCAAAAGATTTTTCACTCTCTCCACGAGTGAATGAGGATAAACTTGTGATTAATAGCTTCATGGATGTGAGTGTGAGGTGAAAGTCAAAGTCGGGAAGATTTTTTTTAAGGGAAAAGGAGCTCAAACTAACTGATCCGGCTACTCAGTTTGCAGGATGGAATGACACCACTGAAGGTTCGCTGGACTGGACTAAAAGAAGATTTTTAGAGCGGTGACATGGTAAAGCACAAACAGGAAAAGCCCAGCTGATAAGGCGCTTGACTGATGCCTATTATCAATGCCATTAGCTGAGGATGCCAAAGTTATTTGGACAGGAAAAGAGAAAGCGTGAATAACAAGCAGGCTGACATTTTTTTTTTGCTAAACATAAATGGATTTCCTTTGCTGCGGAACACAGCCCAAGATAAATGTTGTTTTTTTTTGTTCTGTCCCACTCATTTGCCTTCTTTCTAGCCAGTGTGTGCTCAGAGGGGGGATGGGATTGTTTAGGCTTTCTGATGCTGGGCTGACCTCGTATAGAATTTCTTGGGGGCTGTACCTGTGAGGTGCATAATACCCATGTGATGAATGAGACCACTGTTATGGCTTGATTGCCAGACGCTACTCCCTGCTCCCCTCATGAGCCCATGTGATTACCCATCTCCCGCGAGGCTGCTGGTTTCCCAATCTTCCCAGTAATCACCTCATCTGAAGTACACCTCCACACATTATCCTCTCAGTAACTTCCCTTTACCGAACACCGAAACCCAGCCTTGAACTAAATCAGAAGCATGTCAGACACAGGAAAAAAATGATAAAACGTGACTAAAGGTTAAAAAATCAGCTGAGATAAGGTGAAATAAACTGGCGTAGCACTTGTTTTTATCAACAAAACTGTCACAACATGCTGTCTGCATGTGGGAGTGGATTGAAGAGATGTATAATTTTCCTTAGGATGAATGGTGGGTGAATTCCAGGGCTGGCCATGTAGGAGTTCATTCCTGCAGTGCTGCTAAAGATCAGTCGGAAGAAGATAGATCACTCTCATTAATCTAGGGTGCCTTCGAGTTCATTTCCAGTAACTTTGGCGTGTCTCCTGTCCTCAACAGGTCCTTACTAAAAAACCACCTCATCCACATGTCACCCGTGCTTATAAATAAAAGAAAAACATCTGCTCTCGATGCTGAAAACCACTCATAAAAGACACCCGCAGTATAAGTAGAAAGAGGCTGGTGATGGATTACAAAACAACACACAGATCTGAGTTTCTGTCACTGCCATACAGACAGTGCTTGCTGTGTATAGTTATTTAAAGATGTGCAGAAAATAGGTACTTCTAATGGAATTTGTGAAGCCACCAATTAGGTATGGATTTTTTCCTCAGTGTTATTTTTATCTATCAGGTCCAAAATCAGGATTTGGATGGATTTCCTCTGGCAAGAAATGAGCAAATTTCCTGTGTTCTGCTTTGCGAACACACCTTGGAATACATAAAATATAATAAGGCGATGGGAAACAAGTTCAAATTACAAGACTCTGGAAAATATTTTTTGACAGAGGCACTCAGCGGAATTTCCTTTAACCAATTTAATATGCAAAAAAGAGTTTGATGCAGATGTTGCGTAGCTCAGATTTCAAATGCATGTGTGGCATCTTCAGGAAACACGAGCTATATGTCTAAATATTTCAATGCACCATTTGTGGCAAGTCCTGGCAAGTGTGCATTGCTGTTTCACTCTGATTATTTTACCACAAGGAGGAGTAATTGGATTGGAGGTTACTGTGTGAAACCATCAAAGGCTGTGGCAAGTCGTCGCAGCTCCCATCGTCTAACTCTGACCCCTGTTAGGAACACAAAAAGATGGATCACACGATTTTTGGCTCACAGTCTCAGGGAAATTAAGGCAAAAGTTGTCAATAATTGGAACTGAATTGGCTGTTTTGCAAATGAAGTCATGGTGATAGCAGGGGAGCCCTCCCTGTTATGTCACAGCCAGCTGTTCTTGGACAGTGATTACAGGCCTACACACACACACACACACACACGCACACCCAAACGCACACATGAACAGGCTTTTAAGCTTTCAGCATTCATCATCGAGGATGTTCGGCCGCGTGAGTTTCTATGTGGGGGACTCCTGGCATGTGCTGTTATTCACATTGTTTGTCCTGCTCCCCTCAGCCCACCTGTATTGTAAATCACTGCCAAGTCCACAAAGGAGAAGACACATGAGCCTTGATTAGTGGCAGTGCACTGCTTTATGACACCTCCAGACATGTTGAGAGTTGCCCTTTTTGGTTGTTATTCCAGCTCCATATTTTCAGAGGGTGTGATGTCACCAGTTCTGGATTTGGACGAAAGCAAAGCATCTGGTGTTAATGTCAGTCTAATGGACAGACATAATGACAGGCCTGAAACAGGGAGATGCTCCTCTGCCACCTCTCAAATGTACATCTTGGCTCGCTATTGTGGAAGCACAATAAATCAGCTTAGTTAATTATTGCATCGCTGAATGGGATGCGTTGCTGTACAGACTTAATTATAAGGTCTGTCAAAGAGAAAGGAAGAGACCTGGTTAGACTAGATATAGCTTGGCCAAAATAGTTTATCTTTGTTTTCATCTGCAGTTGCTATTTTGGTTGAAATGTAGTTTCCCCCTCAAAGGCAAAAATCCTTTTGGAAACATGGCCATGAGCCGTATGTGTTTTGACTCTGTATACAATCCACACTCCAGATGGACACTTGGAGCAAATTTGTGTTCGTTCATGATGAGTGAACTGATTCCACCTGGAGAAAATGAATAGGAGGCAATAGAAGAAGAGTGAATAATTATGCTCTCTGTCTTTTGATATACATTCACGCAGGTTCAAAGGCACTCGTTTAAGTACACAGTTGGCACAGATAATGTAGTTATGTATCAAAGAGTAAATGTGTCTTTCAAGGTTTGGATTTTCTCATTTCTAAGCCTTTAAATTATGCACACCGCAGCAGTGACTTGCTGTGTTACGAGTAATTACCTCAACCTTATTATATAGATTTTTCAGGCAGAGGTATTTCAACCAAAATAAGCGCATGTGGAAGTTAAAATGCTAGCGTGACCTTGGGCACTCTCAGCTATCTGTGCTGAGCTTCCTCTATTTAGAACTGCCACACGAGTTTTGCTTGGTCTTTTCTTTTTGTGACCTCTGCCCTCATTTAAGATTTAAGGCTTATCTTGCGAAAGACCATGCTGCGAGAGACCAATTAAAGGTTTTTACAAGGTTGTTCATATCATTTTTTTTGTCATGCTGGGGGCAGGGCTCTGGGGATGTGGCAGTGTTGGTCAGTCCATCTGTTTGTCCTCCACTTTGGGCCAAATGGAAATATCTCAAAAGCTAAAGAAGTTAAGGCCTTGAAAGTCATCATGGTCCACCAGAAGATGAAGCCCACTGACTTTGGAGATGTTGTAGTTTTTCCTCCATTGCCACTGTGAGGTTGCCATCTGCGGGTCTGAGTGAAATATCTCCTCATCTGAGATTTCATTTCATACTGATGAACAATCACAAATCCACTGTGGGAGCACTGTCATCATGAAATTACTGTTCTGAATTAACTGCATGAGTCAAAAAAGAATGATTAAACACATCAGAGGCAAAACAAGTGTAAAGTGTAAACATTCATTTTTTATGATTCTGTATGATGTGACTGACTAAGAAGACATGTATGTCATGAGTTGTATCTTGTACAGTAGTTCAGGGGCCACAAATCAACGCTGGAATGCACTGCCCTGTTATTGAAGAAACACGTATACATTTTCCCCCGTAAACTGGTTAATGTGTTTTTGCTCTGTCTGCTCCATGACCCAGTTCAAAATGAAGTGCTAATGTGTTACCCTTTCACTGTGGTACAGCTGTGATTAACCAGGATGTAACAAAAAAGAGAGCAATTTTACTCTGACGGTAATTTTATAGAGTCTTGGGTTTCATACTTTTCCTTGCCAGTTAAAGTGAGCAGAGTCAAGGAGTCTGAAAAGGAAAAAAAAAAAACCCAACATATTGTACTTGATATTCTCAGCGTGCAGTCACCAAAACAGGTCTATTTCTATCAGACAAGTGGTTCACATAAGATAAGATTTATTTGCATTTCTGATATCAATAATCAGATTTTACAGCATCTCACTGATGGGATTCTCGGATGGTAAAGGTTAACGATTCTAATGCAGCAGAATTCTCATTGTAAACATTATTTGATGTGATTGCTCTGAAACAGTGCCTGCATCGAGCTGGATAAATCTGGATCTGGGTGTTTGTGTTTCATTACAGTGTCTGCCAAAGAGCTGGTGAAGACCTGCTGTGAGACAGGGGAGAAATGGGCTTCAGCTAATGGTCACTGCAGCAACATGGAGCCACCCACAAAAGACAGGCACTCCATGTGCTGGTAAGACCATCATGTAATGCTCATTTACTTTACTGGACTTAACAAGTTGAATCTGAAGACGATTAAGGTGACATAACAAAGAAATTTGTGTATTTGTTGAGGTGTTTTCTGGCAAGACCACTCAAACTTCGGTTTAACTTTCCTTTAGATATGCAAAATGGTCCTCAGAGCTGATTTGCCCTTTTTAGTTTCTCCTTATAATGAAATTCACAGCAACTTGAAAACACAGTTTGTTCAGCTCTGTTCTTGCTGCAAGTCCACAGTTGCAGCCCAAACGCTTCTGCAGTCATTTCTCACGTGTGCCTTTCTCTGCCAGGACTGCCCAACAACAGTGCTGCCTCGGTTCCCTGAGAGAAAGTCGGTGTTTGGCTGGAATGAATGCAGCCAAAGCTGGGAGTGTGTGTGAAGAGGACGCCAGCGACAAATGCGGGGTTGATTCCTACAAGGCAAGTATCGGTGACCAGGTACCACAGCAAAGAGCAAACACAGTTTACTGGGCTCACAGTCAAACTTTGACACTGTACATTTCAAATGAAGCCAAATTAATAACGTCTTTAGCATTTGGACAGCTTCATTCTAGATGTCTTCTGAGGATTACTGCTGTGGTGCTAATTCCCTGTTATTCAATTATCTTATTTAATTTAGACAAAATGATTTCGGGCCTATTGCAAGTGAAGATTCCCAGAGTCCTACAAGCTCTACTATTGTCTAAACAGACCTCAGTAATTGGAGATGTCAGATGTCAATTGTTCTGTCTCTCTAAAACTGTAGACTGTAACTGATGTTGTAAAACAGTAGCAGTGGATAGTAGGTTATTATGGCCAGTAAGGGTCCAACAGTGGCAACAGTGTAATTATTGCATTTGACTGGATTCCAAAAGCCGCTCATCTGTGTTGAAGGAAACCAACGCATCTGCTCAGAGTCACTTGAGCGGCTACGGTGCAGTAGAGCTGGTAAACTGTGGCTTTCACCACTTCTCTGAGGAATGGCTGTATTCATAACAGAATTGTGTCTTCTACAACCACGCTAAATCACAGCAGTCATTACTTCAGTTTTATGTTTTGCCATGATCACGTTAGCCTCACGTAGCTGGACCAATCTGCAGCACAGAATGGCCTAGCAGTATGAGGTGTCTGAAATTGTTTTAGGGGAACACACAGGGAGGTGAACACGGTCATAAAAATGACTAATTTATTGGGGAAAAAAACTAGTATGCCTCCTTTACTGCATGAATCAGTGTGGTGGATTGCTGCTCGGAGGTTTTTATTGTTGCTTCCTACAGTGACAGGGATTTTAAAAATGGTAACACATAGATAGCAGAAGGGGAAGAGAAATCCGTGTAAGCAATCAATGGCAAGCTTATACCCACAGTCTACATCCAGGGAGTCAGACTATGCTCCCATTCACTCAGTGGTGATCTTGTTGAGAGCTCCAAGGAAAAGAGTAAGAGGCAGTGCACAAGGGGAACATATTCCTAAATTTAAACTTGTCACTGTGAAAGTTCAATTCAACAAAATGAAGAACTAACAGCTCTGTGAATTATGTTTTGCCCTTCGGTGCTTTTGGCAGTCTGCATGTGGATGTTAGCCTATTAACATTTGCAAAAAGGTACGAAAAAAATACAGTTGATGTCAGTAGTCTTTGAGGAAGATGGACACAATTTGACCCGATGATAGTGCTTTTGAAAAGGGTCAAGGATTTTCTAAGTAGTTCAAAGTCATCCTGAGGGGAGCATTAATCTAGGCATGACATTTAAAGACGATCCATCCAGTAGTAGTGGAGACATTTCATCCGAACCCACTAATATCAAGCTAAAGCAAAAGTGAGGTGATCACTGAATCCTCTTTAAACCATCAAATGTTCAATATTATACTCCTTTTAACAAGTAAGTGTAAGTCTCACGTGTTCTCAGAATGTGTATTTCAAGTGTCAGCTCAAAATACTCCACTGATCATTGCTTCTACTACGCTATATTACATCCCCAAATGGGCTGTTTCAGTATCCATAGCTTTAAATGCAAACAGGCTGCTGCTGTCACACCCCTTTCAGGAAGAGCAAGCTAAACAACTTGTTCAGTGACAAACTTTCTGATCTATGGAGAAAAGAAAGAAATGAGGGGATGGTCTTACATTTTGTAGGTGTCTAGACACGCTGGGGACATAATTGTTGTCAAGGAATTGAAAAACAGGAATTTTTTGTAATATGGCTCTTTAATGTCTGTACAAAATTTTCAGACCCAAATCCATCTCGTACAGTAGATGTTGAGGTAGTTCATTTTATAAGTACTTGATTTCATGATATGGTTTGTTTTTCCATTTCTAGCAGCTGCTCTGAGAACCTACATGGCACTTGAAAGACTACAAGCATAAAGAGTGTTTGTTTGAACTGCAGGAGTGCTGTGGCTGCTGCTCTCTTGGGCTGCAGTTCCGCAGTGAGGGGCATCACTGCGAAGCCCACCAGTACCTGGGTTTCCACTGCAGACACATCTTTCTGACCTGCTGCGAGGGAAGGGAGGGGAGAACTGGGAATCAAGATGGTCGGCACACCATCCGACAGAGACCTGCTCTGGACTCCACTCTGCTGCCAAAAAAAGGTATTGTCAACAAACATTCACACAAACTCACATGAAAGCTTCACGGACAAGTTTCAGGCTGAAAGAGGTGACGTTGTGAGGTGGGCTGATTTAAAGCAAAGCAATCAATTTTCTTTAAACTGGCTGTTAAAAGGAGCTACTCTAGTTAGATCCCCTGACCCCGGTGAAAAATGGTGCACCTTAATGGCCTCCCATGTCACCCTGTATACTGTAATTCTAAGAGATCTAGTGTCTGCCTGCCTGGCATTGTATTCATTTCTGTTCCGGCAAACCCCTCGGATGTCTGAATTTGCCTTGCACTAAAAAAAACTTGGCTTATATCAAATTCGCATTGTTTTTTGAAGCATTTTGTGCCAAATGTTTTGCCCATCCCATGGCAATGTGTGAAACAGAATCAGAAATCCAGCACACATCCTTTTTTGTATATCTTCTGAAGCTGCCTGTGTATTTTTATAAGATCCCATCTAAGGATGGGCGTTGCTAACTTGTTTGGGATCTGAATGATGTGGTATGTGGCAGTGGTTGATGTTGTGTACTTAGCCCTGTAAAAATAAACATTACAATAAAAAACAAGAAAAGAAATTCTCCTTATCATCGTGCTGTGTTGAAAAACGACTGCCTATCTACCCTGTAATTATTACTGTACATTTGAAAAAGTGTTTTCCTTTGATGAGCAACTGCCGCTCTGTCTTTGTACTGTAGTGTCTGACAGCCCGTACCCTAAAGAGGCCTTCTCCATCGGCGAGGAGCAGGATGGGGGGAATGCAGTCGAGGGTCCTGTTGAGGTGGAGGACATGGATGAGTGCTTGATATATGGAGGCAGCATCTGCCACCACAGATGCATCAACACAGTGGGCTCCTACCGATGCGAGTGCTTCCCTGGATATGTGCTGCAAGAGGATGCTTCCACTTGTGCACAAGGTAAAGTGAAGACCACCCATCTTATTTTGTCGCACATTGCTACCAAACAGAAAGCAAATCTCTGCGCTGTGTAATCTTTGAAGTATGATTTACGGTCTGGGTGCATGTCAGAGAGATCCCATTTGTCTACACATTCACTGTGTATTATTTTCCTGGCCTGTTTCAGTTCCTTCCCGTCTGCAAGGCCCGATACTGCCTAATAATAATTTTTCTGTTCGTACACTAACATCCCTTTCCTGGACTGATAGCAATGCTCAACTGGTCACATCTCCACTGTTGTAGCAAATTATTTCAGCTGAAGAAAAAAAGAACATTTTCCCTCTGTTTAAAACTCAATTTGTTGTCCCGGCTAAATCTGAAGGTCTATTCAGGTGCACAGTCTTGAAGTGTTTTCAGGTAATACTGTGCAGCGTACCAGACTTTAATCAACAGTGGCTTCTACCAACACAAGCCTGTCTCAACAGGATGCTAATGCCAGAGCTCTCAGCAAATTACAGTGAAGGATTGGGGCTCACTAATAAAACCAAATGTTTGTCTGCAGGCAATGTTTTTTCCTGTCTCACCTCCATTGCTATTACAACTTTCATCTGTAGCCACTAGCCTCATATCATTGGATGGAAATGCAGCCATTGCACAAGGTCTGAGTCTCTAACTAAGACCGCCGTCGATGGAGAGCTGGAATTTGTGATTATGGTGTAATTCATAGCTCCTGTGTTGACATTATTCATGTTGGTGCAGAGACGTTGGATGAGGAGAACAGACTGAAGGAGGTTGACAGAGCGGCGGCGGAGCCCACCTCACCACTTCCGCCTCCCACCCAGCCTGCTGTCCCACTCAACCCCTGTGAAGGTTAGAAATGCACAGCTTAATCATGGTTGAGAGAGCTGCAGACCCGACAGCTCGCAATGAGCACTTTCATTCATCATTATGGCTTAATCAGACACTAGAACGGGCATCATGAGGGAGCTGAATATGTTTAGTGGAAAAGGGAGCACAGGCTGACATAGACTGACATGTTATGATTTCCTACTCATCCTTTCCATGAAATGTGCTGCAAACGTCAAACACAAGCAGCATTTTGGCAACGGCCACTCGTTCTCACGAGACCGCCATATCATAACGTGTGCACGGTCACATTTTGTTGCTCTTGTTTGGTTTCCATGACACCAGGGTGGAGGTCCACCACACTGTGGGCCAAAAGTGGGAAATACAATATGACCAGGTCAGGGATCAACCTGGAAAAAGGAAATGAGCAAACAGCTATACAGTAAATACTGTTCTGTCTCCCACAGAGAGCCTCAAAGCTCCCTTCTGTTTCTGCCTAAATAGTGCTGTGTCAAGAAATGGTACAGTATATTTCATTTGACCTGATCATATCGAATTATTTCACTGTATTACTCTTAGGAAACGGCATCTGTGAGCAACAGTGCACCCCGGTGGGCGGAAGGCCACAGTGCTCCTGTTTGCCGGGATTCTCCCTCAGAGCTGATGGACGCACATGTGAAGGTAAGCAACCAAAACCCAGTGATAATGCCAAAAACATTGTCTGACATTACACCAGGGCAGCACGTGGAAATTCAGTGCAATCATAGAAGTGAAACACGGCTTTGCAATTTCAGCCCTCATTTCAGTTTTCTTTTCAGCCAGAAGAGTTTGGTTCCAGTTGAGGAGAGTTTCTTGGCAAGACTGTCTGCCACTGATTTGTCTCTTTCTCTCATCAGCGCCTCCAGATTTGCAGAGGAGATACAGCTCTAATCCCCTGTGGGAGAAGTTTTCATCTTGTTCCTGAGCTGAGTCTCTACCAGAGGGATTATCCCAACTGTCCTTGCATTGTCACGATATATCTTACCAATTGCATACCATATATACCCATTATTTCCACCCAAGAAAGGCAATGGACTGTGTGTTTTGTCATGAGACCAATCAGCTACTGCTCTATATGTCTAATCTGTCTCCCAGGGAATACTTTTTGTTAAGTTTAGCCACAACCACAGGTCCATCTAATGCCTGACAGCAGCACAGTAACACAGAAAGCAGCTCGGTGCGGTGACAAATTTCTCATTGTGTGGATTTTATTCCCGGTGGCCTTGCCCCTAATCTTTCTCCCAGAGGAGGGTTCGACCTGTCTCTTTAATCTGCTTCTAACTGCTGACTGTTACACGCAGACGACGGCGACTTGATGGTTTTATTGTACGTCTTGTCGTCTGCTTTTTTTTTCCAAACCTAAGCGATGAGCATCTTCTCCTTTGCGCTTCTCTTTCTTCCCACTCACACATTTGTCTTGCTTCTTTTCTTTTCACCATCCAGACATAAATGAGTGTTTGTCTGCACGTGCCTGCCAGGTGAATGAGCGCTGCATGAACACCGCAGGGAGTTATGTCTGTCAGAGACTGATCACCTGCCCCCCTGGATACCAGATCAACAATGACCTTTGTGAAGGTATATTACACCTTATCAGCATCAAGCAGAATCAAAGTATTCACTTCCACCAACAGTTAATATGATGTAAATAGCAGCAAGGGAGCATTGCTGAACAATATAAGGAAAGAGCATTGTTCAGGGACAATCACCTTTCCCACCCTTGAGAGTTTAGTATTGAATTATTATTTTTTTAGTTCTTCACTTTCAGTAACTATGTAATTTTACATTTGAGTAAGTATTTGCTTCATAGAGTGTATTTGTTGTTAGCCAAAGTATTTGCTTGCTGTTCTTTGAAGAGCTGCCTGGCTTTTCTTTGTGGGTGATACCCAACTTTGGGATGCGATAGTAAACCTCCAAATATCTCTCATTATTTCCATGCACCATAAATTTGGCCTGTGCAGAGGTTTCACTCATACAGCAGCAGGAGTGTTCTGGAAGAAAGGCTCCCTAAGATGAGTTTTAGATGTGCTGTAGGAGCTGTTAGTAACTGCAGATGGGTTTCTGTGGGCTCAGGCAAGGGGACGCAGCTAATCCACACGGTCCCTGTGAGTTTAAAAGATGTTCAATCAGGCAAAATGAGCATTTAACAAGAACCTATGTTTAATGGGTGAGCCTCCAAACAGCTGCCACTTCAGGTCATTGCCATAAGTGGGGAGTGTGAGAAAAACATCTTAGTGCTGCGCTTCCAATTCCATTTTGTATCTTAACAAGAGGCTGTAGTGAAATAGTCATTTTGCCTCTTCTCACAAATGAAGCAAAGTCAGCACTCAAAGAGAAATAGAGTTGTTTTCCTCTCTTGTCCGTAAACAGAATGATACAGTTTTGACCAGTTAATTGTACAATCTGGCATCAATACTCAATATCTTTCTCACTTTCTGCCTGTTTCGGTCACACCATCCATCCATTATCTCTACACCGCTCAGTCCTCATTAGGATTGCAGGGGGCTGGAATCTATCCCAGCTGACTTAGGGTGAAGGCAGGGCACATCTGGACAGGTCGCCAGTCTATCACAGGGCTACACTTACAACTAAGCACACTCACATTCACACCTACGGACAATTTAGAATCACCAATTAACCTCAACATGTTTTTGGACTGACCTGTCCAGGGTGTCCCCCCCTTCGCCCTAAGTCAGCTGGGATAGGCTCCAGCCCCCCCGCGACCCTAGTGAGGATTAAGCAGTGTATAGATAATGGATGGATGTTTTTGGACTGTGGGAGGAAGCTGGAGAACCTGGAGAGAACCCACGCTGCACGGGGAGAAAATGCAAACTCCACGCAGACAGATCTCTGGTGTCCTCACCGGGATGCGAGCCGGCGACCTTCGCGAGGCGATGGTGCTAACCACCGAGCCACCTTGCAGCCCTGGGTCGCACCAGAATGCACAAATTTCATACACATCCATCCATCCATTATCTATACACCGCTTAGTCCTCACTAGGGTCGTGGGAGGGCTGGAGCCTATCCCAGCCGACTTAGGGCGAAGGCAGGGGACACCCTGGACAGGTCGCCAGGCTATTGCAAGGCCACACTTAGAGATAGACAACCAAGCACGCTCACATTCACACCTACGGACAATTTAGAATCACCAATTAACCTCAGCATGTTTTTGGACTGTGTGGGAGGAAGCCGGAGAACCAGGAGAGAACCCATGATGGGGGGGAAGAATCCAGAGGTTCAAAGGGGTTGAATTCTCACATACAGCAGCGAGTGGACTCTTTTGACTTTTCTAGGTTCTTTGAGGCCTTTTGCCTTCGCTGGGAGGGAAGTCAGTGCCAACCTCTCACACATTTATCCTGCTTCCTGGTTTTTCTTTCTCTTTCTCTGTTGGTGTCAGGCTCACTCAGCTCCTTGTCGACTCTGCCAGGTTTGTGTCAGGAGCAAGATGCTCAATCACTGTTTAGAGACCTACCCTATATCTGTATGGCTGCCTGCCAGAGCTGGTTTAGGCCTCTATACAGCAATTACAGAGGCAAAACCTCCTTGAAAACACAAGACACATGCATTATTCACACAGACACACACATATGCGCCACATTTTTTTTTTTTTTTGATCTTTTGAGACTGTTATTTCCCTCCAGCTTTGGTTCATACTATGACAACAGATGTGGAAGACTGATTGACAGGAGATAAATCCCTTAGTAGACAGGTGTTAGAGGACTCTGGGGGAATATACTGAAATAGTCACTCACGCTGCACAGGAAGACTGATGCTTGTGACTTGTGCTGGTTTGACTTGTTAGATATATTCATCTAGCTGAAATAATAATCTGTCACTCACACTGCTCTGGCAGCAACAAGATTGATTAGTATACATAAGATTCCTAAGTTGTAATACAATTCTTTTATATTTGATTAACCTCTTGAGCATTTACTGAGAGAGCTGCATGACGTGCAATCTGCCATTTAGCCACAGTGCCATCCAGTGGTGAGATATGGTATTACAGGCAGGCATTATTTGCAATTGATCCTCATTAACTAATTGATTTTCTTTTTCCACAGACATCAATGAGTGCGTTCAGGGAAGCCACAACTGCGGAGCTGGCTTTCAGTGTGTAAATACGGAAGGCTCGTTCAGGTGTAATCCCAGCGCTCGCTGTCCCGCTGGCTTCAAACAGGACCAACAGGGCAGCTGTGTAGGTAAGAGACACCATGTAGGTGTTTTTTTTTTTTTTCCATACTTAATGGTTATAATTCGGAATAATCAATGGCCGTGTTGGGTTTGTCACCCCCAATTCATTGTGTTTTATTGGTTACAGGTGCAATTGTACAGAAAAAAATGAGTAGAGTAAGATAAGAAAAAAGAAAGGAAGAGGAGGAAATTCATAAATAAGATTTACATAGGGAATCCCTGTAATCATTTGCATTTATAGATCAGTAAACACAGAAAACTGTACTCTTGTGCACACGTACAAAATCTGCTGACACATACTCAGACACATTGATTCCATCCATTGCCTCCATAATTTTGCTTTATGTAGCACATCCATTAAGCCAATCCTGCTCTAACACAGTCAATACTGCTGCAGATTTTGCAAAAGTGATTCTCTTTCCACTCTGAGTTTTCCCCATTATTTTTTATCCATTTGTCTGTACTTCAGCTTCCTTTTTGCATCAATTTACTTTTATGGACCTTATTCACAATATTCTATATAAACATTTGTCCTTTAAGCCACTTTAGCAGTAGAAATCCATCTAATGAGATGCATAAAACAAAATCAGGGTCATAAATTGTCATCATACTATATTTCTATGTGATTTGATCATTTAACATGAAAAAAAAAAAAAAACATCTTTTGCAGCACTGATTGCAGTCGTAACCGGTCCATAGACTGAAGGATGGCTGTATGAATTTCATTTGTTTGGAATCGAAACCTTTCCTTGTCTTAAGGTTAAATCATAGAATATGCGTCTTTTCCCTGTTATAAGCCAGAATTGTTTTTGTTTTTAGTAATTCCTTATCCTGATCCCAAACAGATGAGTGAACCAGGGCAGAAACACAAAGAGAAATTTCCCCACAGGTGAATCATAGTCTGTGAAGATGCACGGTTGTACACCACGCAGGTGAATCAGCAGGGCTGCAGTGACAGAGGGGTTAAATGCCACACAGACAGGAGATCAGAGAAGTTGCTGTTAGGGGCTGCAAAGGGGTGGATAAAAGCCAATCCTCTGTCCTACTCCAGTACAAACTGATGCTGTGGAATTAGCCCCCAGGGGCAGGAACTGGGGCATGTCGAGGCGGCAGACGCCACTATAAAAGGAGTGTAAAAGAAATGCTCTGAGAAATGAGAAAATGGAGAAAATGTCAGACACACACACACACACACACACACACACACACACACACAACAAAGTTATCCAGAGGAACACAACTGTGTGATGTGTTTGCTTTGATATCACAGCACAGTGTGGCTTAAGAGCTGTGCTCTGGTCTCTTGTGCCTTGTCTTTGTGCCTTTGGGGCTTTCCTCTTCTTCTACCTTTCTTCGCCTTTATCTCACTTGCTCTGTCTTCCTCTGTCTACCAGACGTTGATGAGTGTGCTGCCTTGACCCCACCGTGCAGTCCAGCGTTTAACTGCATCAACACAGTGGGATCCTACCTGTGTAACAGGAAGATAATATGTAGCCGTGGCTATCATTCCAGTCCCGATGGATCCAGATGTGTTGGTAAGATTGGTGGTTATTACACATGGAGCATATGTAATCCGATTTGCTAGACAGCCTTAAGGTCAATGTTGGCAGAAAATGTGTTGCAGCCAAGAGAGAGTTGAGATTATTTAGCTCACATGCCTTTATAAATGTAAAAACTGAATACCCACATCATAGCACTATTTTAGTTTTTCCCTTAAAGTATAAAAATATTAGTTAAACTAAATAAAGGATCAAAAAGTAGAAAGCTTATAATGAAAAAAGTCATGTTGTCATACATTTGAGTTTCCAAACACAGAAAGTGATGGGATCTGAATGTTGTCAGTATTTTACTCATGTTTCCATCTCTTTGCAATTCATGTGCATCTTGTAGATGTGGATGAATGTCAGGACAGCCTGCGTCGATGTGAAGAGGGTCAGCGGTGCCATAATTTGCCTGGTTCTTATCGTTGTGATTGCCAGACTGGCTATCAGCATGACTTATTCAGGAGGATGTGTGTGGGTATGTTGAACATCATATATGTCATCTAAGGATGAGCACTTGCTGAATTGCCAAAAAAACAAAAACCCAAACAACCTTTTTGTTATGGTTTTATCGTCTTTCTCTTCCTGTTTCCTGCTCTCTCTGTCATTCCTTCCCTCTTGCACTACTGTACAGCCACCCCTCTTCTTTGCCTGCCCACTCTGCTGCTCCTCTTTATTATTCTGTGGTGGGAGAGCTGCTGCTGTTTCCCAGCTTCTGCTGCTGGCTTCTGCAGGAGCCGCTGGCCCACCGATCACGTCTCCTGCTGCACAGGACTCTGTTGTGGCCCTGCTGCTGCTGCAGCTCCCTCTGTTTGTGATTCACTGTGTTGTGACTCTCATAATAATGGACTCAGCTCAAGTGTTTAGACTATCAGCAGACAGATGGTCCCCTCGCATCACACTCTCGTTGACATTCACACAAACATGCACAGGCATGCACACATACGCAGTTGTGCAGGACAGCAAACTTGCACATGCTTGGCTGCATACATGCACTTGCACATATGGGTGAGAGCACACAAGTGCAAAAATGCAGTTACCGAGGTATGATGATGCTGCTTCTTCCTCTCAGATGTAAATGAGTGTTGGCAGTACCCCGGCCGTCTGTGTGCCCAGACCTGTGAGAACACCCCAGGCTCCTATGAATGCTCGTGTACCTCTGGTTTCCGCTTATCTAGTGATGGCAAGAACTGTGAAGGTGTGTTTTTGTTAATGTCTGTCTGCATGGGTGTGTGTGCATCAGTGTGTGCATGCTGATGCTTGTCGCTGTATGTTTTTGTGAATTTGTGCATAAAAATATGTGTGTGTGTGTGTGTGTGTGTGTAGGTGTGGGTGTGTGTGTGTGCATGAACAGTTCCAAGACTGAGCTGATATTAAAGCTGGCCACTGCTCAGCATGCAGCAGAAGAGGGATGGCGGTTCGCTGTATTAGTGTATTATACTGTATATCATGCCATGCCTTCAAGCGGGATCCAGTAAAAGCATAATTGGCTTCATAACAACATCTTGTTTATATGTTAGGATAGCAACATTGAAAATTCTTTGATCAAGTACAGTATGACAGTAATGAGCTCTAACCTCTAATCTCCAGATGTGAATGAGTGTCTGGCCAGCCCATGCAGTCAGGAGTGTGCCAACATCTATGGTTCCTACCAGTGCTACTGCAGACAGGGCTACTACCTCAGGGAGGATGGGCACACCTGTGAAGGTGGGGCATGCTCTATTACACACCACAAACACTATATTTATGCCAAACCTGTGTTTCGGCAAGTTTATGTATCAAATTCCCATGAGTTATCCTCCTTGTCACCCAGACATCGACGAGTGCTCCCAGAGCATCGGCCATCTGTGCACCTATAAGTGTGTGAATGTCCCAGGCAGTTACCAGTGCGCTTGTCCTGAATACGGATACACCATGTCTCCAAATGGACGATCTTGTAGAGGTGAGCGCCCCCCACAAACAAAACAATACGATAAAAACATGCATATAGTCACAGAACGGTGTAAATATACCTCATTGAGTTCTGCTCCAAAATGCATTTTAAAAATGGCTCAGCAGCCCTTTAACTCTTCACAGATTGTGCTGTAATGGTTCTGCTCAGATAAATATAATTGGTAGTTTTACAGTGGTGCAGTAATTACACACTCTATAAAACTTTATTGGCCTAAAAGTCTTGTCATGCTAATTTGAATTTTTTACTTGAGCAATCTTTTTCTCCACAAGGAGGCTTTTCCTCAAAGTTCTATTATCCTCCTCTCCGGGCTGTAAAGCGGGCCTTGTGCGTTAACTGTGTGTTTTAGATATTGATGAGTGCACCACGAGGGCCCATAACTGCTCTTTAGCTGAGACCTGCTACAACATCCAAGGAGGGTACCGCTGCCTTTCTTTCAGCTGCCCACCAAACTACCGCAAAGTGTCTGACACGTGAGTAATGACATCACTTTAAAGCTGATTTTCAGTATATGGCTACTTTGGATCTTTGGTTAATATTATGTTTTTTTGTTGTTTTTTTTTAATTTCAGGGGGGGACTGTAGAAGAATCTGCTTGATACATTTATGTTCTTATTTTTCCTAATCACTCTTGTTGGAGATACAGTATTTGATCTTGATTTTATTGCAATATGAGCAAATTAAACAATCGTAGTCGTATTGTGCTTTTCAATGGTGAATTATCTCTTAACATTTCTGACCTTCCCTTTTGCACAATAAAAAGTATTTTCCGTCTCATCAAAGCACTTTTAATTGCTTTGCTGTTTAAAGATGCATTACAAATAAAGTGTACTATGCCTCCCCTGTAGTCGCTGTGAGCGCATCAGCTGTCCCAACTACCTGGAGTGCCAAAACTCTCCTCTGAGAATCACCTACTACTACCTCAGCTTCCAGTCCAACATCGTCATCCCCGCTCAGATCTTCCGCATCGGACCCTCTCCCGCCTACTCCGGGGACAATGTCATCGTCAGCATTACACAGGGAAACGAGGAAAACTACTTCAGCACGAGGAAGCTGAACGCGTACACGGGCGCCGTGTACTTACACCGACAGGTTCAGGGCCCGAGGGATTTCCTCATCGACGTGGAGATGAAGCTTTGGAGACAGGGGACGTTTACCACTTTCCAAGCCAAGATCTACGTGTTCATCACAGCCAACTCGCTCTAACAGCCGGAGCTGTGCCGTGGCCAGTATGGACCTTAATGCAGTTCATGAGGACTTTTCATATCACTATTTAACAATGCCACTGTCCGTCACGACGAGTTTGAGCAGTTAACTTTGCTTTTGTTCAGATGAAGTTAGTATTACAACATTGCCATTAGGTGTAGTGGATTGTTCAGAAAGGAGCTTTGTGTCACTTTCTATTTATACTCTGTGATTGCATGGAAACATTTTTTTCTTCTCGCATATCCTTTATACATATTCCATATTTTGAAAGTTTTAAAGTCTGAATCTAAAATAATATATTTGAGGATACAAAAATATTCAGGACGCCACAAAAATTGCAACCATTTTAGAACCAATTCTTAGTTTTCTGCTCAAACGATCCTGTTGTCATGAGGTGATATGCAGCTTGATAATTGAGAGAAAGCAGACTTTTTTTCTTAGTTTCTTTGAGTTTCCATTATAGAACAACTATATCTCTTATTTTATTTTCACCTGCACTGCTGCCAACATTTGTGTTTGAAGTATTTAAAAAAACTAACTTAACATTACGCTCTGTGGTGTGTTTTTGTATCCCTTTAATCAGATATATTATGGATGGATGTATCATATTTTTTTATGCTAGATTCAAGTATTTTAGTAAAATATAAATATATATATAAAACGCCACTGTGTTGTGGTGAATGCTGGCCAATGTTATTTTATAAGGAGCATTATTTGTCGAGGAGAAGTGTGGCATTTCTGTTTTATAATTCCTCAGTTATTTTGTACTTATTGTGCACCAGTTCTGTTTAATAGTCTGTATATTGTGTGAACATTCCCAGTAAAGCTGTCAAAAAATGTAGTTCATTCTTGTCGGAGCACTGCACACGGTAAATATCCTATTTACATAGCTGTTCACACCTTGCGAGTGAACTCAACATGAGCGTCATCCATCATCGTGCGGCTGTTCATGCGCGCACATTTTATGATGGCTAGTAAAAGTAATGGCCTTGTAGTGTTTAATATCTGAAATAAAATGACTGAAATCTTCCTATATTACCGTGTAAGGTCTTGTCTGCTCTGCACATTACAGCTTCATCTGTACTGCAGTTTGTAAAATAATAAGTATTACACTCCCACCTACAGGATGAATCAAATCCTGCACCTTCAAATACTGGCTCTCCTCCAAAGAAACATAGTGTCTTATACAACAGTTTTAGAGAAGAAACACAGAAATAAGCATGGCAGCACATTTCAGTCAATAAACATAAATAAACATTGATGCTTGCTGATTTTCTTGTCCACCTTTCAGCTCTAAACTTATCTTCTGCCGCTGCTCAGAGTTCAGTGAACCTCCCGGACCCGCTGTAATCATCGGAAAGGGTGTGTGTGTGTCTGCGTGACAGCTGTATTAATGCGTGTTGCACATCCAAAACAGTGCCCCTCGCCAGTTTTCTGTTCTCCCGCATGAGTTATACTACCAAAGGTCACCTCAACAAAAATTACTGCGATTTCTGCTCTAATTTTAGCCCCCTCGGTCTTTGCTTGGTGAAAATCGGAATAGACGTTTAGCTCCAGAAGCTTTAAGGAAGCATTCAATTCAGCTTTCACAATCTTCAAGTCTGAGACCTTCCTCCTGACATAACTCATGATAATAGCCGTGTGTGTATGACTGACTCAAGCTTTCAAACACACCCAGTGACTGAGATGCCACTCTTGGTATGTACAATACATAACACGGCCTAGAGCAATGACTGATGTCTTTTTCCCCTAATTAGCTTTATCTGCTCTTCAAGATTAGGTGGTGCTGTGTTTCAGGGACAGTGAATCACGCATCCCAGACCGGGGGAAGATACTCACATCTATTGTGAGTTGAGGGACACTGACAGGAAGTTTTGAAGCTTGTCCTGGACAAAGAAATAGCGACTCTAAGAGAGTTATAGAAATGAATAGAAGTAGTTAAGGGAAAGGTAAATATAGTGGTGTAAAAACATCCTACTAAAGATATATGTTGTCTTAGTGTAATCCGAAATGTGCTTGGTAAATTACTTAAATCCTTTTCACCCTGGAGGCAAGAGGCAACCTAGTTTTGCTCTGTCTAAAATGAAACCAACATTTGTTATGCCTCATTTCTTTTGCAACAAGGGGTAGATAAGCTGAGAGTCTGATAAACATCATTAATATTTACTGACTTATTAAGTCACTATATGTATATATGTAAGGTCTTTACGCACAAATTTAGAGTTTTGAGAAGGTGCAAGTTTTAGTTGGAGTTTTCAATATTACTGACTTATTGTATTCAATAATATTCTATTCTTTTTTTTTGGTTTTGCAGTTTATTTGTCTTCTGTCTTGACGCTGTTGTTAACATTAAATTTAGGTCGTGGGTGTGTTTTCTTTTGGAAACTTCAAAAAATAGATATCTATAATAGCTGTAAAAGCCTTTTGTTCATAGCATCTGTGTGTGTGGTTTTTAAAAAAATATTATTCTATATTTAATATGTTCTGTTTAGCTGAGTCTTTGCCTCTTATTTTGTTGTTTATTGTACTTTATTTAGTTTAATTCTCTTTATTTTCAAATCACTGATTTGATTCAGTTATGAATGCTGAGTTACTAAATTATTTCATCTTGATTTTTCCACCTAAAGGTCTTGGTAACGATGATTTGAAATTATTATTATTGTTGTTGTTGCTGCAGGATTAGATTGATATATCTGGAGGACACTGGGCATATTTGCAAGCAGTCATGATCTCTTGTAATACTTGATGCATGTAAATTGTTATTTAATATATATTATCCTACAATACTATACATATTATAAAATCAGATTTCTTTTCAATTTTAAACTTCATAGTGATCTTAATCACTTACTTTCTTTTATTCAATTACCAATGCACATTTGTGACAACCCCATAACTAAAACTTGTTCAAAGCCACACATTGGTCCCTGGTAAAGTTGCAAGTTTTTTTTTTTCTGCACAGTATAGCTCTGTACCCACGGCCCCGATGCCTGGAGGTCACTACGCTGACAGTGAACTGCACCATCACTGGTTAAGGTCTGTTCAGGGACATTTGTAGCATGTCATTCCTCGTCTCTGTCTCTTCTTGTTTCCTGTCAACTTTCATCTTTACGCTGCTCAAAGGCATAAAATACTCAAACAATAATAAAAATGCAAGTCAAGTCAAGTAAACTTTATTCATATAGCCGAAAAATCACCAATTTGCCTGCAGGTTGGTTTACAATTTGCAGAGCGTGCAGCATTCTCTGTCCACAGACCCTTGATTCCAGTTTGGGAAAACTCCCCAAAAAATGCTTTAATGTGGAGGCGGGGAAAAAGCTGCAAATGTTTTAAAGTTTAATGCTATGATCTTTGTGAAGTATGACAGGGATGTAGGACAAAAATCTAGCAGAAATCTAAGAAAAACTGTCAGAAGGTGGTTTTTACAAAAACCTATACAACTAATTTTCTTTCTGGCTCAAGCACCATAAATGAAATCTTACTGACTTTTGTTGAATTAGGGGGGCAGTGGAAATAACTGATGTTTCAGAGCCTTGGCAATTAAAACCAAAATTAGATCATTGGGGGGGAAAAAAATCTTTCCCTGTCGTTTGCAATTATGCCGGATTGTCTTGAACAGCATTAACTGCCCGCTGTCGATCTGCATGGGATAAATCATTATTTTTTAAAACATATACGATTACAGTGTTGATGATCATGTAGGTAGTATGCACAGTTTAAACATTATTTTGCCAGGGAGAGCAACCCCAAATCCACCGTGACTTTGTGCAACTGTACGAGATGTGTCTGGGTGGAGGTCGGAGCAAAGGCGGGGTGAGGATGGAGGATGATGAGAGGGGGAGGAGGGAGGGAGGGAGGAGGAGGAGGGTGGTGTTACAGACACGTTTGTCTTTGATAGCTCAGGTGGTCATCACCTGAGGGGGAAAAGAGCGTTAATGGGCATTCTCAGCAAGCAGACAAGCACAGGCTAGTGCTCCCTCTTCCCTGGCTGCCATAAACAGGGGGAAGTATGCATCATTAGATTAAGCTGAGGCTAACTACCTGCAGTTAAGCCCACTTCATACAGTAGCAGTGCACACGCTCAAACTCTGGCCTCTCCTGATAGGCCTGGTCAGAAGCAGGTTGAGAGGCACCGAGGTACGACTACTCAGTTTGGAGAGTGAAAACCTGCACCAGAGAAAGAGACATTAACGTAGATTATTATGTTATGTGTCACCGTTTGTATTACAAGCACTTGGAAATCATTGACTGAACACCTACATTACTTCAGGAGATAATAGCCAGATGAAAAGACACAGCATGAGCACATAAATATCAGTGACAGGTTGAAATGAAGCTAAAAAAAAAAAAAAAGTAGACTAGGGAAGTTATAAGAACAACAACAACAAAAAAGAGACAGCAGAAACGTTGAGAAACATAGATGAACAGACAGAGGGAGAGGAATTTGCCTGAGAGGAGAATGAAGGAAGGTATGCAAGATTGCCTGTCACTTTGAGGCGCCTGATAGCTCAACCTCGGTGTCATCTCATCACATTTATTTAGATATTGCACCATATTCCTCCTTTCAGGAAAGAACTGATCGCGACACATGACCAGAAGAGACTAACCAAGCTCTGAAGGACAGCATTTTGGTCTGAGCGGTGAGCCGTCCAGATCAGGACAGATCCAGATTACTGCACGAGATTTAGCCCCCAAGGACAGATACGGGAGCGAAGGAGACTCATCCCTGCAGGAGTGGATTGACCTGAGGGGGAAGCTCCACTCCGAGGCTCCATGGGTGGGAAGATTTACTGGAGTCTTAATCACAGGTCAGGTCGACACCTTGGCAACAGGTCCTCCGACCAATAGGAGAGGAGCCCCGGATGATGCGCTGCCTTGTTAACTGCCATTTTGACAGAATGTAATGCCAGACATCTTTGGCATGTGTGACTTTTGACACTACAAACGGTGTTTCGTACTTCGTGGAAGCGCTGTATTGACTCACTAAAAAACAATATACAATACAATACAGTCCTATAGTGCACACACAGGACTGCATACAAATCATAGAAGATTGTTTTAATTATGAGATAACATTTTCTAAGATGTCTTCCACTACCTCAGTACAGTTTGATATTTTTGGTTGTTGGATGATGTATCCTAACCACTATTGGATGCACTGCCATGAAATTTTCATGTCCCACTTATTTTTAGTGTGTGGTCTTGAGTAACTTTGACAATCCTCTACGTTTTAGCGACATCATCGTCATCGAAGTGTGATTTTATTCAGTATTTTGGTTTATGTACTTTATGTTAAAGGCTATTTACCAAATGTCAGCAGGCTAACACTAGGGTGAGCTTGATAAACATGACCTACTAAGAAGCATCTTAGCGTTGTTAATGTCATCACTGTGCAGTGCGGTCTCACAGAACTACTCACGTGACAGCAGATTTCACCGTGAGACAGTTATTTTAAAAAGTGTGTAGACTGGTTTAGTTTTTAAAAATTGACAACACTGTATTGTAATTTACTTTAATATTCACCAGATTCCCCCAAATAATTGATGTCATTTTGCAGTCCTTATCATTGACATATCGTAATTATATTTTTACGATGTAATGATGATCCTGATGATGAGTACTACAATGTTCAGTAAACAAGTGTTTATCAGGAGATCATGTGTAATCCAAATGATTTACTAACCAATTCACGATACATTGAGTTGTGATTAAAAAAAACAAAGGGCCTTCCCAATTTAAGTGGTGAAATTTCACAATATTGAGCAAATGAATTTGCAAGATGCAACAGGCACTGCACTGCTTTCATGACTGTCTGCATACCGATGTGACCACAGTCTAACTATTACTCTCTTTATCTCTGCCCCCTCCGGCACAAGGGTAGAAAAACCGTGTGTTCTCCCTCCAAAAAAAACCCTCTTCTTCAAAACTTCTGTGGGATATATACATATGTTTGTGTTTACCCCTACAGCAAAGTATTTTTATGACAGGTCTTTCATTTATAAAAGCCAAGTGAGAATAGGAGACTAAAAAAAATGC